ATTCGAGAATCGTTCGTCTGGATGTATCGTGCTAAAATTGTGAAAGCAGGATATCTTCCGTTCCATGAGATTTTATCGCGGGTTATTTTATTTTGTTTTGTTCGAGTGTCATTAACAGGAAGCAAGTTAGTCGTTCTCGCGGTTAGAGTGGATTTTGTAACTCGAGCTTGTCTACTTTCACGCGCATCCCTCAGGAATATATATATATATATATATATATACGTGTGTCCACACAAGAAGAGCGGGAAAGGAGCTCTCGCGGTACGTGGCGACGAAAGGGAGAGCTGGATGGAAAGAGGCAGTGCAACAGGGGGAAGAAGGTCGGTCGGTCGTAACGGCGAATAGAATAGCGGTATAAAACGTCGCGAGGAAGGCGTGCTCGGTCCTCCGCAATTTCCCGGGGATCGTCGAACCCAGCTAGTCGGCTTATTAACTTTTATGAGAGAACAACGGGTGGACGCAAGTGAGAAAGGGATAGGAGGAAAGAAGGCGCGGACAGAAGGCGACCCAACGGCCATTTGCAGCTTGCGAAAATATCCTTTGCCATTCGCTTACAATGGAATTATACACCGGGGAAATTTTTTTCCTACAAGATTTATCGGAAAAAGCACGATTTAATACGTAGCACGTTCCCCGATAATATTGGAACTTTTTCAACGAGTTCACGTTTGTAACTTTCGATAATTATTCCAACCTTTCGCGTGGAAGATGGAAGACGCGTGACAAAGGAAGCGTGAAACACAAGGTTCGAGTAGATGGAGGAACGGAAAGAGGGGGGAGGGAGGGGGACTAAAAGGTAAGCGCACGAAAAAGTTTGAGCAGAGGAAGAAAAATTCTTGTCGCCTTTGAGTCGCGATGTCGACTTCTTTGCCCATGCCCTTCGCTTCCTACATTATCGCGAATTGGATACGGCGCGGCGTGGCATTTTTCGCTCGAGACGTACGCAACGTATTACCTTCCTTCTGCCTTCAGACAACGCACCTCTGTTTCGCAGCCTCTGTAATAATTTCCCCCTTGATCAAGGAGCGTGGATGAATATGCGAATTCATGCACACAACCGTGACGGAAGCGGTCCTCGTTAAATCGACGCGCGTTTCGATTCCGGCCGAGAGATCTCCAATTATGTTAGGTATTCAGGCGAACGATTTCGTTAGTGTTTGATAAACAGTAGTTAGCAACGAGTCACGATAAAATCTGCCGAATCGTATCGAAACGATCGCGCTTTTAAATTAAAAGTCAATATAAGCGCCGTGTTCCCCAGCGTCCAACGGATATCCGATCAATTCAACGCGCATTATGGATACGTATGGAAATTTGCGCGTACGAAATTAACGCGATACTTGGCGTACGCGATGTTCGTTTCCATCTCTTTTTTTTTTATTCTCGCAAATGGGAGAGCCAGTTTCGAACCAGTTTCGTAGATTAACGCGTTCACGAGCATTCTCATCGAAAAAATATGCTGAAAAAAATATACTGGATCTCTTTCTTTTGTCCTTGAGAATGTGCCCGCGAAGAGAGTAAAAAGAAGGAAAACGGTGGAATGGATGAAGAAAGAAAGGAAGGAAGGAAGGAAGGAAGGAAGGAAAGGAGGGAGGGAGAGAACAATGGTGTTCGGCCAATTACGTAGTTCACCGGCAACGTCGACGAGGGCGCAGCAATCTTCTTTCATTCCTTGTATCATGGGCAAAGAAGAGAGACTATAGCCGATTGCCGAAAAATTCTTCCAGAAAATTCGCGCACCATGAGAGGGGAACCGGATCAAAAGGTATATTTTTGTTGTTGGGGAAATGGTAGACATCAATTTTCACCACAGATATTCTCGCAGCGCCCTATCGTTTATTTTGATTTGCAGGATTCGTTATTGGATGCTTTCCCCTCCCTTCCTAGTTACGCCGAGGCTGCTTGGGATTAAGAGATTTCGTGGCGTGGAATTTATGACATGGGTTTCTTCACTTTTGCTGGGACTTCATAAATATACGGATAGTTGGCGGGTGAATGAACGGCTGTTTCGTGGACGGCGCATTTGTCGTTAGCTCATTACCTCCATTCCTTCTTTCTACGTCGTGTTTGAAAAGTGAAACATTGTGACACTCTATGCCTCTCTGTTTTAGGAAACAGACGTTATCGATAAGGGAAGGAAAATCCAATAGAACCGCTGTTCGAAAAGTCGTTTTCGATACATCCGGAGATACGAGATATATTTTGTCGAGTTGGCGAGTGTCTGACCCGATTATGGATCGATATACGTTTCACGCATCGCTACATCAGCGAATTTTCTAATTCCTGTGTTTATATTCTTAAATCTGAAATTGACTCTGTTGCACCTTTGAAATTGTAAAATTAGAAATTCGAATCGAACAATAACGTCGAATAAAATAAAAGGCACGCGATGCAAGTAAACAGATATCGGTCTGGAACAATCAGATTTGTGCCTAGTTTATCGTGCGAATTGAACGAAATTGGTGAAACGGTTGTGCTCTAACGTTTTCTATGGAAAATTTCTTCCAAATCGCTTACAACGGTTACGCAAACATCCGATCGGATTATCGATGAAGCGTGTAGCATCAAAAAGTGTTTACTTTACATTGGTATAAGGACGGAACAAAGAAAGGGGAAAGTAGGACGAAATAGAAAATTAAAGTAGTCAGTGGGTCGACAACGAAGGAAAGGGATGGTGGAATCTTTGGGAATACGGGAATGAAAGAAAATCTTTATATATATATGTGAAATGTATTTTTCTTCTTTCTTCTTCGACGGTCCTCGTATTTACTTGTCTGGAATCGTGCTCCGTGGCGTGGAATTATCGAGAACGGCAAATATAAAGAGTATCGAAAACCACTCGAACCAAGGAAGGAATAAAGTGGGATAAATGCGTAGAGGATGGATGGACAAAACGAAGAAACTGGTACTGGTGTGTCCCAAGGTAATTAAGCAAAGTATCGTGCTACGTACGAGCGAAGGAAAAACGAGGAAAAAGTAGAATGCTACGAGGTTGTAGGAGGTGTTGGATCAAGGGAATTGACCGAGTCGTCTCTGCCTTCGCATCCTTTACTTCGTTCCACGAATGCGGTCAGAGCGTGTCGTTGCTTGCTTTTAAATCGAATCGACGAAGAAACCGTTCGTCGTTAATTTAATAAAACTATCAGCCACGACGTACATTTTAACGAGCCTCTACCTGTTGTTCTCCCTTTCATTGAATTTATTCGTGTCGCGAACGTAAAACAAACGGGGTTGAATAGCCATTGCGACGAAGTGAAGAGGATAAAATTAGACAGGTAAAACAGAATATATTTAACAGCTTAACGGTCAAGGTTTTTCTATATAGATTTGTACGTAGATGAAAATTATGATCATCTTTAAAATAATCGTAATAAATCGTAAATAACATGTGTATAAATTTAACGACGAACGGTTTAAATGGATTCTTATTATTGTATTGACGTTTGATTTTCGTCGTTATAAATAACAGAATATTGTCAATGCAAAGAATATTTGTATTTTAATTTAAAAGATATTGATAAAAAATTTTTAATTTTTGATATATTGTATGAAAAAAATAAATTTTTCTTAAATTTTGTTACGTAATTGAATTTCTTATTAAAAAAAAAAATTTTTTTTCTACGCCATCTAATTTTTGAGATATTTAAAAAAATGTTTTTTAACACACATTTTGGAGAATGATTTCACTCATTCAAAGTGAATATCAACTGATAAAAAAAATATTCAATTTTTGTCAAATATTTTTTTTTTTTTGAGAATTATCTCCTGTATAAATTTCATCAGAGTGTGTAGATTTCGATACGTTTCTTTTTAAAATACCAGTTCAGATATGAATTTACATATCAATGGTATCAGTTGATATAATAAATATCAGTTCGTATTGTAAGTAATTATTACGATTCTTCGAATATACATTAATTTTAAATTTCAAATCATATTATGTAAGATGATTATGATTTTGATATGTGACTTATTCGTAACATTGAAGATATGATAAATTATTTACCACGAATATATTATAATTAATTATGATATATTTTTTTAATTTTAATTGATAATTTTAAATTTTTATTTTTAATTTTAAATTTGTACGCGTATAAGTTTTTCGTTATATAACTTATTCATACGATAGATAAATATTGAAAAAAATTTTTTTTAAAATAATTTTTTTTTTCAAAAGCTAAATGTTAAATTTTTATTTATATATTTTATCATCATTCGAATTATTATGATATAACCAATTGTTAATTAAAAAAAAAATATAAATGATAAGATAAATAATCATTGTAATATATAGGAATAATCAATGTGTACACAAAAATTGATTCTGTTATTAAAATCCAAAATCAATAAGAATTTCGACTTTTGAAGAGTTCAAAGGAAATATTGACGGAACAATATCGAGAAGCAATATCTTCTAAAAATTTTTCGATGGATCGTGAAATAAGATTGTGAAATATCAGCATATAACCTCAAAATATAGACATATTCAATATATGTCTATGTTTTATAAATACTTTCTTACAAAATATCTTTCATTCTATTATTTACGATTAAATAAGTCTCTATTTACGATTAATAAAATTACAATATAGCGCACGATATATTTCGATTCTATCGTGATGATAGCGTTGATGCTTCGTTCATTGCTTTAGATTGGTCGTAGCCTAAGTATTATTTTTATCGTCTCTGACATAAGGTGGATGGAAGATATAACTCTAACCGACTATGTTACTTATGCCTTGTTTCTTTATAATTTGTTCCCTTCCTGTCATCAAAAACGTGGAAAAGATTATTATTTTCACTTTCATTAATTTCAGGAAATTCTTACAGTTAGTAGGCGGTCCTATACGAAACGCGACGAATAAGGTGACAAATCCAGTAACGGGCAGATTACATATAGGCACTAATACTTGTTTGTTTTTGTTACTACATACATTATCTTCTAAAGTGGAAGAAAGCCAGTGTGTCCAGCGCCGTCGAACCGTGAACGTCTAAGCATGGAAATTAATCAAACTCGAATCATCTTTTTATTTATCCTCGTGATAAATCTATTATCGTGTTCAAATGCTAATAATTCTACCTCGTTTGAAAATAGCCGGCTTAAAATTCTGGCAATCTTTCCTCATCCGGGCAAGAGTCATTTTTTCGTATTCAAACCTTTCATCGAAGAGTTAGCACGTCGAGGCCACGAATTGACGGTGATTTCTTATTTTCCGAGAATCGAGAAGGATGAATATATTCCTACTTATAAAGATATCAGTTTGGCCAATGAAAAGAGTGACGTGCTTATAAACGTAGTCGATTTGAAAAGATTTGAAGGGAAGTTTTACATTTATAAATATTTTAGCAATATGTACATGTTGTACAAGATGAGATTCGTAACTTGTGAAAATTTAAAACATCCAGCTGTAAAGAAACTGAGCGAAAATGGGGAGAAGTTCGATTTGGTGCTGATAGAGAATTTCAATACTAATTGTTTCATGAGCTTTGTGCACAAATTCAACGCGCCCTTTATAGATATATCTACCCATCAGCCAATGCCGTGGACTATACATAATTTGAGACTTTACAACGAAGCCAGTTTCATACCTACGTTGTTGAGCCCGATTTTAAAACCGATGAATCTTTTTTATAGAACGATGAACGTGTTGTCGCTATACGTCTCATCGGCGCTATATTACACGTTTTTCCATTGGAAGGATCAATCTGTAGCGGAAGAAATTTACGGTCCGGATATTCCGAATGTGATGACGATAAGTAAGAACATTACTATTTTTTTCATTAACACGCATTACACCATTCACGGTGGCATCTCGTATCCGCCAAATGTCATCGAAGTGGGTGGAATTCACATCGAATCGAAAAGAAAACCTCTGCCACGGAACATAGCCAAATTTCTCGACGAGGCTCACGAGGGTGTTTTGTATTTCAATCTCGGCTCGATGATCAAAATGTCTACGATGCCGAAGGATAAATTGAATATATTGATCAAAGTGTTTCGTTCCATTCCTAGAAAAGTGATTTGGAAATGGGAACAGGATGACATTCCGGAATTACCCGACAACGTCATGGTCCAGAAATGGCTGCCTCAATACGACATATTAAGTAAGTTAATGACATTTATCTCTCTCATTATTTTGAAATAATTGTGAAATCGAGATCTTATGTTATTACGATATTTGGAAGTGGTATTACAGGTGATCTATTGCGCAGTTATGTAGAGCAAAAACTCGATGCCTCCGGAGTCTCAATGACATTTATGTTATATGTGAAAGTAATGGCTTGTATTTGATACACGGTATTCGTTTTATAGAGAATTATAATCGCGTTTTATCGATACGCTTCTTTTCGATTTCACACGTAAAAAAAAAAAAAAAAAAGAAAAATACGATTATATCTATATTTATTTACCTGTTTTTTATCTCTCTTTGTGAACGAGAATATTTAAAAAAATATTTTATAAATACTTATCCAAAAAAATACTTTGCTTCTTTCGTCGAATTTATTTCATCGAATTGTATTGTCAATTTCTATTCTCAAAGGGAATCTTTATTTAGTTTTTTCTTTTATTTCCACATAAAAGAAGCATTCATACGTACGTGATACGTTATCTCGTTATTAGATAAAAGCTTCAAAAAGTTTTGTCTTTATTATAATAATACTCAAGATTCGTTAATCGATTCGTTTTTCATTAAAAATCGAACGAATCGAATTTAAATTATTCATATATGTCTGTTTCTTATCAAATTCTTTTTTTCAATTTTAATTATAATAAATATTGCTACAAATATAATAACGAGATAATAAGATGATAATATTATAAAATTTTATGTTTATATCATATATTAATATTTAAATACTTAATAGGTAAAATTAGTCTTTGTTCACTTTATTTGTTATATGCACATAATTTATTAACTAATGAATCTAATTTGAAGAATTGCAAAATCACTTTATTTTTTTATGCACATTTCAAAAAAACAAATCATTAAACAATCATTAATTATTCATTTGTTTTCGAAAATAAGATACGTAACAAGGTGTTGATCATATATTAATGATGTTTAATTTATTCTTATTCTAATCTAAACATTCTAATCTAAAC